GCGCGCAGATCGCGGTTGCAGGTGCGGGAAGGGAGAGGGGAAGGCGGGGAGGGATGGTTAATTAAAACTGCAATGATTAAAATCGGACGGGCGTGTGCGGGTTTTTTTCTTTATTTTCTAAGTGTTCCGTAATATGGTATTTATTTATTTTACGGCTTAAAAAATAAAATTGAAAAATAAGGTATGAAACATTGGTTGCCAGCCCGTCCTAGTCTTATCTTTGGCCTTTAAATGGAGGTATTTTCCAGAAATACGAGGATGCGTTCTAAAAACTATAAGAGATTGTAATTATAACGGACAGCTTGCTTAATTTTCTAGTCTGTTGGAGATCCTGCTCCTGTGGTTTATGGTCACCAACATGTAGCGTTTCCTGAGACCTGACAAGTGCCAACTACGTCAGGAGTGGAAGGAACTTGGAAACTGTCAATTCGGGAATTTAAGATCCAAAACAGAAGACTTTTTAAAAGGAGGTAAAAGTGTGAGTGGGACAGGACTATCAAAAGAAACCAGCAGAGAAGCTTACCCAGAAATTAAATAAATGTTCGCACAGAGCGAAGATGGGGAAGTTTTAGTACTGAAGACAAACGGGTGAAGAAAGACATTTCTTTACTATTTTTACAAGAAAATCGTTAAGGAGAAGATATTTTAGAGGAGCCCAGAACATTTGGGCTAAAGGCTGAGTAGCCTAGTTTTAAAAGTGAACATTTTGATGTGTGTGTGTGTGTGTGTGTGTGTGTGTGTGTGTGTGTGTTTAGCGAGGATTATACAGCTATAAAAAGAAATGAGGAAGATCTCTAAATGCTTAACATTCCCATTGCAATCAGCGCAGTTCTGTACACAAGTCTCCATCAATCTGGTCTACAGAGCACAGCCACCACTGAGCTCATAGGTGATTCTGGGTACCACTCTCACCAGCACCTTCCTTATTACTTTGTGAAATGGTGTAGCCACTGGTCCCTCCCACGGAGTATAATTGCCTGGTGGGTTTTCCAGGCTTACATAGTATAGTACTCTAGTTTGCTCACATTTTTGAACTCTTTAAACCCTTGTTCCATTGCCTTCCATGGCAATCCTGGCCTCTTTACCTCATTTAGTGTGGGCCACCACTCTCCATGCTTATGAAGGTATTCTAGCCACATGTTTGCACCATTTCCTGAGATCCTTGCCAGGTTGTTAAATCCTGTAGCCCCGGAGAGTACTTCCAAATTAATTGTCTCCCTTATTCAATTTTGTATTCTGTCCCTGTTGATCCAGCACCCACAAGTCAGTCCCACGTGTACTCAGCCAGATGTCCCCTTCCCATCTGTCGAGGCTCCACTTTTTTTTTCCCATCCTTGGCATAGCAGACTTGCTGATAGTGAGAGTCTAATCTTCAAGGCTCTGCTACTCTTATGATTAAGTCCTGGGCTGGCCCTCAGATTTTCCTGCAGAAGATGAGAGCCTCTGTATTTGTTGGCCTTCATGCTTAGTGTTTAATAGCCATGATCACTCTGTATTTCATTAGATAGCATTAACGGAACTTGGCAACAGCCCACCCATATTTCTGCTATAAATCACTAATACCCGATATATTGCACCCACTAGAGTGTTTCTTCCCACCAGAATATACGGTTTGCTAATGGTTTTAACAGTTGCACTGCCTTGTGTCAGGGACTATCTGTACTCTATCACCAGTGATGACAGCCTCTTTGCTAGCCTAGCAGGTGATACACACCAAAAATCCCATCTAAGTGACTACTTGAACAATTTTTGACATCCCTGGCACCAGCTGTGGCTGGGCTCCCCAGGAAGCACATTCTGAGATGGAGTTTAGCATGCAGGAAGTTGACTAGGGAGGGCTCTTGAGATCAACACCCGAAAAGAAGGTAAGGAAACAAGGCAGACAGAGAAGCTGGGCTGCAAGGTAGTCTCAACAAAAACCTATGCAGATCCTCTGGGGAGCTCTCAAGTTCAGATGGGTCAAGGCAAGTGTGCCTTTGTATCCGGCATCAACGAGTCACTAGCTGCAAGGTACCCCAGGAATGGAGTAAGGCCACGGGCAGTCAACTTCTTTTACCAAGGTGCTTCCCAGAAAGGGCCGACAGCTGAGCTCTGTCAGCAGGACTTCTAGTAGCAGATGGATTATGTCCTTCATTCTTGAAGGATGTCTGGGTGATGTATTATAGGATTCACCAATTTGCCACCAATTTGACATACAGTTAAGCCATTTGTTTTTCAATATTCAGGCATTGCTTTTTCTCTTTTGATTAAATTTTATTTTTGAATTGTTAAAAACATTTAAATAAAATGTCTTTAATTTTATTGAAGTAAAAAATATTTAGTACATAATAAAATAGAAATTTATTTAAATAAAAATAGATTTCGCTTAAGTGGATTTTTTAATTAAGAACATTTGAGATATAAAAATATAAAATTCAATACTTTCAGAGCAATATGGCTTCCCTTTCTAACCTCTCAACTCTGTTCTATCCTTTCCCCTCTAACTTTTTATTCTGTTTATCTTTCCATCATTTTTTAAGTATAAGCAAATACACCTATACTATACACACATTATATTTCTACCCCTTTCTTAATCAAAGTTAGCATGCTATAAACACTGTTCACTAGGTTTTTGTAACTTAACAATATATTCTGAAGAGCGAACCATGTAAGTATTTAGAGATCTTCCTCGTTTCTTTATATAGCTGCATAATCCCCATTATGTGGATATCCCATTGTTTATTCAATCAGTCCCCTACTGAGAGGCTTTGGGGTTGCTTTCATTCTTTTGCTATTACAAAGAGATCTGCAGTGAATAACTTCAAGCATAACTTTTTTTTTTCTTGCAAGTATATCCTTGGGATAGTGAGATTGCTGGATCAGAAGGTAAAAGCAAATGTAATTTTGCTAAATCTTGCCAAATCTCTCTCCATTGAAGTTTTATCATTTTGCACACATACCAGCCATGAGAACACCTCCATAGTCACATCAACAAAGCAGGCTGTCCACTTTTGGATTTCTGCCTATCTGATAGGTCTTAAAATAGCTATAATTTGCATTTATCTTATTATGAGCAAGGCTGAACACATTTTCAACTGTTCAAGGGCTATTTCATTTTCTGTGAACTGCCTGTTGATATATTTTGCTCGATTAACTATATTACTTATTATTCCTCCATTTTCGGGAGCCGTGTATATATTACATTATGATCCTTTGTGTAGACCTCTAATACATCTGGTTGTTGTGAGACATAAAGACCCGACTCCTTCACCTCAACTTGTGACAATTCCAAAGGGCGATGCAGCTTCAGAGCCTCCCATGGGTCTTCAGCGGCCTTTGTTGAGACACCAATGGAGTCCAGCTCCTTGTATAGAATGGATCCAATTTTATCTTTTTCCATATTTGTATCAGCATCATGTATGCAACAGTCCATGCATTCCCCCACTGACTTGAGATATCACTTTTATCACATACTAAATTTCCATATGTTCTTAGGTCTTTCTCTGGATATCCTACCCTGATCTTCATTATAATTTACTTCTCAAAACAATTTTTAAAAGGTATTATTTCCCTTTTACATAAAGGAAACTAACGCTTAAGAGATTAAGAAATCTGACCAAGATCACAAAGCTAGTCAGTCACAGGACTAGGGTCTGCAACTATGGGTGTCTAGATCTAATGGCCATGCATTTCTTACAAGCTAATTAGCAAAAGGTATTCTTTCTCTCTCAGAAACAAGTGGACAAATCTGTGTAGATCCCATGTGAATAATAGCTAAAGAAAATTTGGTTAATTTCATGCTTAGCCTAGGATAGTTGTCAGGAAACCAACAACAGTCTTTCATTGATATTACTGAAATTGTATCCCCTACCCTATCATTTGTTTGTTTTCTAAATATATAGTAAAAATCAGGTGGCCGTGTGCTACGGGAAAATCAGGCAAAAGACAAAATGAAAAGAATTTTTCTCCCAGGCAAGAAAAAGCTAAAGGAGTTCACCACCACCAAACCGTATTACAAGAAATGTTAAAGGGACTTCTTTAAGAAGAAGGAGAATTCACAGATACAGAGGACAATCTGGTGATTGCCAGAGGGGAGCGGGTTTGGGGGTTGGGTGAAAAAAGTGAAGGGATGCAATACTTATACCAGAGACAAAGAAGCACCCAATAATTCTAATTCTGGGTTTTTATCTGGAGAGACCCAAAACACTAATTCAAAAAGACATAGGCATCCATATGTTCATTGCAGCATTATTTACAATAGCCAAGATACGGAAGCAACCTAAGTGTCCATCAATAGATGAATGGATAAAGAAGTAGTACATATATACAATGGAATATTACTCAGCCATAAAGAAGAGTGAAATATTGCTATCTGCAACATGGATGGACCTAAAAGGTATTATGCTAAGTGAAACAAGGCAAACAGAGAAAGATAAATGCCCTATGATTCACTTATATGTGAAATCTAAAAAACAAACAAACAAACAAAACAAACAGCTACAGAGAATATTTTGATGGTTGCTAAATGGGAGGGAGTTTTGGAGGAATACGTGAAAAAGGGGACGGGATTAAGAAGTACGAATTGGTAGTTATAAAACAGTCATGAGGTCTTAAATTATAGAATGGGAAATATAGTCAATAATGTTATAATAACTATCTGTATGGTGTCAGATCTGTACTAGATTTATCAGTGTGATCACTTCGTAAGTTGTGTCTAATCACTATGCTGTACACCTAAAACTAATATATTGTATGTCAACTGTAAATGAAAATTTAAAAACTCTTTAAAGAAAAGGATCCCCCTGCTCAATACTAAAGTGAGTTCATACAGTCTTAGAATCCTGGATAAAACCCTGGTGTCCTCAAAGCTAAACTGATAAATCTGGAAGGTCGAGTCAATTTCTGATTTGGCTGTGTATTCTCAATACTTTGCACATGGTATAGACATAATAGATATATGTCGACTCCATATTTGCACGCGTCCATCATTCAATCCAAGACTGTGCCAATAAGAGACTCACCTGCTACAAATAAATCAACATTCCTAGCTTTCCGTGACTACTCCCATCTCTCTGTTGCCTTTTGCCGGGGAAAACAAGAAAGGAAGAGGCTTCAGTATTCAAACACTGCCAGTTCGGCCGTGAACTCGCAAAGTGGAATACAAGGAACTGGATGCGAAGACAGGTGTTGCTTGAGGTGACCCGAACTCCTAGCAAAGAGAGCGGCTACCTCCTGAGCCGCCGCGGAACTTCTTGGCGGGGTAAGTGGGATCCAGGGGGAACGATTTAGGACCGGGACCACTTCCTGCTGCTGAACAGGAGCGAGGGACCGGGAGGAAATAGCTCGAGGAGCGGCATCCTGCTTGCGCTAGCAGCGGCAGAGGAGGAGGCAGGGAGGGACGGCGGGCGCAGGAGGTAGGGGAGGCTGCGGCCGAGGAAAAGAAAGTGTCAGAGCCGGTAAGTTAGTCGCCTTAGAACAGGGACAGTGGGCAGCGCCCCAGGCTCGCTTTGCAGATCTGCGGTCCCAAGTTGCCCAGCCGCCGGTGGGGTCAGGGCCGTGCTTGGCTCGCCGCCTGTCAGTCGGCGCCGAGAAGGGGCTGTTGGGGCGCTGGGGCTGGGCCTTGCGGGGCACCAGACTGCGCCCTCGCTGGCTGACAGCCCCACCCCGGAGCCAGGGAAAGCGCTGGGCTTTTTCTTCCTGGGGGCTTTGGACTTCCCTGGACAGCGTCCCCAGACAGGGGTCGGAGTTCGGGCAAAGGAGATGGTCGCTGTGCGTGCCACTTAACCCTGGGGATCTAGCGAGATCTTGCCGAGTGAGTGGTGAACATTGTTTCCGGGGCTGAGGGAAGGGCTTGTAAAGAGTCTTAATCTTAGAGCCATAGTTTTTCTGTACTGTTCAAGCTGTCCGGGCTGTCGGAAGCGGAGTTGTTTGTTTTTAATGACAAATCTCCCCTAAACACACAACACCCCCCCACACACACACACACACTTCTGTCACCCTGGACATATTAATTGCTTTCAGATCCGTGGTTAAGCCAGCGTGTTCCTTATTCGGTCTATCATGTTAGTACTGCCGTAGGTATCTGGGCAATGGTCTGTAGGTATACTTGATGGTGAAGTCAAAGTTAAGTGTCTCCGAGCACTTTGTGAAGAGAGACGACGCTAACCCAGCAGTCGGGACTATTTAGCGCACTTTGTCTCACCTTCACTTGTAACCGTTTTAGTATTCGAAGTAAGGATAGTCACATTAAAGGTACTAGGTAAAGGTTATGATTGTGCACTGCAAAACGCCTGTGATGTAATAGGATATAAAATCGTTTATCACTGAATGGAATGATTATATAGAGATTGTTCTGGAAAGATCAGCAATAGTTTTTATTAAGTTATTGCTTTTCTGTTGTCTTAGGTTCGGCTTTAGAGTGTGGTGAAGGGTACTTTTCACGGTGCATGGAGGGAAAGCCAATGCGCAGGTAGGCATTTAGGAAGAAAACCTTATGTTCCACTAACTGAAATTCACGTAATAATTCAAGGCTTCATTTAAAACAATTTTTTTTTAAAGGTTTACAAATCTTACCTTGGAACTAATGCTTCTTGTTCGAAAATAAATTAAAAGTAATGTCAGGAATTAGTAGCTTTTTTTAGTAGAGTAAAATACAGAATTTAAATTTCTAAAGAGTGCCGTGAATGTAAACACTCAAATTTTCCTTTTTGCGTGGTAATTTTTAGTGATAATCATTAAGTGTACTATGATACTATATGGGTTTATTATAGTCTTCAATTCCCTATGGAATGCAAAAGGTTCTGCTGCTATATAAGAATAATGATTTTATAATACACTGTACTAATTATGGTTTTGGTTATTTCACTGATGTTCAGTAATACATTTGTTCTGTTACTTGAAATAGCTGCACTGTAGGGAAGATTGAGTAAAATAAGTAGTGGGCACAATAACTCAGTCCACAGAAAAGTAGAACTATATATGAGAAAATACAGGCAATTATAGGTCTTCTCAACCCTAGAATTTAGTAATGCTTTTTCTCAATCTGTTCTAAAAAATAGGACTAGAATACTATTGAAACAAGATCAGCCCAGTTCTATTTCTTCATTTTTAACTCATTTTACATTTATTGAACTATATTTAATCATTTGTTTTTTAACATCAAAGATAAACAGCTGTGGCAGACCCTCTTAAGAAACATTTCATGATGGGGGTATGACTTAGAACCAGGAGCAAGAACCAGAATATATATCTTTTTCCAAATCCGTTATCGATTTTTTTTACTGACCTTGATCTGTTCACCTTCTCTGTGCCCCAGGGTACTTCTCTAATGTATCTGACCGGGATATTGAGAATTAATGAATACTTGCAAATGCTTTGAGACTTCCAGATGAAAAGATGTAACATGCCATTATCTTATTTATATCTTACTCTATAGTAGGAATATTTGACTGCAAGTACATGAAATAAACAACACATATATTAATACTTCATCACTTTAACTTTTAATAAGATTGCAAAAGCCACTAATTGCTTCTCATCCTCAACTGTCATAAATGGTATGTCTTATGTAATTGCTAAAATAAGAACTTATTTTTTAAAAAGAGAAGGCACAGCGTGGGAATGTCTTTATCAGTACTTTCTATATAAAATATTCATTTAATTACTCATACCCTTTTTTTGCTTTATTATATAATACTACCAGTTATTCAAAATTGCATTGGAGAATTCTGGTGCCATTAATTAAGTTACAGCTCTTTCTTCATCACCGTCACTTGGCTTACCCATTGCTCTCTGTTTTTTTTTTTTTTCGTTCGTTTGTTTTTTACCCGATGCCTGCATTAAATCACGATCATGCTTCCAAAGGGTATTTCCTTGTTGGGCTACCATTCTTGCTGTTGCAACCCAGAAAGCAAGTTCTGGAAAGTAAAGTCGAGTTTATACTTAGCTGCTATTGGAGAAGCTTTGAATGAGAAGTAACTCTTGACATGGAGATTATTTGAATACATATTCATTCTCCCTACCGGAGTATGAGCTCTTTGTCTTCTGTGTCCTTGTATCCCTGGAACCTGATGACCACTGGATAATGGTTTGAATGACTGAACGGTACCTGCAGACATTTCCCCTGGGGTGGGGGACTATGAACAAGAAAAGACTGAAAATTGTTAAAGGTATTTTAATGCTTAATTATGAAGTTTTGTAAAATTGACTGGCATTTTATTAGTAAAGCTTCGTCGCATTCATTTAACTAGCTATTTTGTGTACCTGATACAAAATTTAAGAAGATAAAATAGGATATTCAATGAAAAGTCTCCCAGCAATGAGTCCAGCTGCCAGATTCTTCTCCAGAGGCAGGCGCTATGAGCAGTTTCTTATGCATTCGTTCACAGATCTCATAAGGCATATACAGCATATATAGAATATTTCCCTCAAAAGCAAACAAACCAAAAACAAACATCAAAAAATTAATGTCAGCATATCCTACACATTCTTCTGAATCTTTCTTTTTTCTTTTCACAAATTATCTTGTACTTTGTGACAAATACATATAGACCCACTTTATTCTTTTTAATAGTTATATCACAGTCTTCCCTTATCTGTAGGTACCACAGTTAACCAGTTCTTTTGAGAAGTTATTTCAATGTTTTTTTGTTACAACCAATTCTGCAATGAATATCCTTATAAATGGGTTTTGCCCAACTGTATAAGTATAGAATAAATTCTTAGATGTAAAATTTCCGAAAGAATTTGTATATTTTAAAATTTTGATAGCAATTGACTAATTTCCTCCTTTGAGATTATACCAATCTATAATCTCACTAACAATGTACCTGTTTCCCAAGATATTATTTTTCATCATTTATTTCATTTAGAGACACTAAAACATCTTGCAATGTAATTCTCCCATCTTTCCTTAAACCTGTAAATAGGAAGCCGAGCCTGACCTTATTAGGAATTGGTTTATTCACTCAACAAACATTCATATGGTACTTGTTCTGTGCCTGTATACTACACATATACAGATGCAGAGATAGAGACATGTAAACAGACACCGTAATACAACATGAACAGGATTTTAAGAGAGATGTAAACACAGAGGAGAGAATCTCTTCTCTAGAGATGAGGGAAGCTTCACAGAGGTGATGATATTTGAGCTGGATCTTCTAAAAAGGATAAGAATTTGCTTTAAAGTAAAGAACGTACTTTAAAGAATAAGAATTCAAAGAAGAGAGATAATAAAAGACACGATGAACAGAAGGAACAGCTGTGCCAAAAAAAAGACACCAAGACCTGTAAGTGTCTGGCACGTATGGAACAGTAAGTATACATGGAGTTTAGGATATGCGGGGGAAGAAAGGAAAACAGGAGGAAAAATCATGGAAAATGAGGCTGCCACCATGGGAATGAGCGTGGCTTTACCCTTTAGGTGTTGAAGAGCCAACGGACATTATTATGCAGATCAGATTTGTTCTTTGGGCCTATATTTAGGAAGCTAGAGCAAAGACGAGAAAGAAGGAAGAAACGATGGCAAATAAACTAATTTAAAGGAGTGATAGTAGCTCAGATGAAAGCTGACGAGGACCCGAAATAGATCTGTGGCAGTCGGGATTGGAGAGGAGGATGGAACTGAGAGTTTAATAGTAAAATCAAAAGGATTCGGTGAATATTGAGTGAGGAGAAGGTAACAATGGAAATGATCCCAAAGATTTCAGCTCGGGAGACTAAGTACTGCCATAAGTTAAAAATATAGGACGAGGAACAGGTTTCACTAAGCCAAGAACAGGTTCTCTTTCATACACTTTAAGATTATTATTTCTAGAAAACAGCCAGGTAGAGAGAGCCAATATGTAATTGGAATATGGGTTTGGGGCAGAAGAGTGGGTTGGGCTGGTGATTAAAAAAAAAAATTCCGAGTCATCAGTACATAGAAGTTTCTTGAAGTTGTAAGTGTGAATGAGGCTGGGACAGAAAAGGAAGATGCCAAGGCAAATCCCTAGGGAGTACCAGGGGAGTTTAGGGTGGAGCCTAAGACAAAAACCCAGTAAAGATTCTAAAATGAGTAAGAAGCTTTAGGTTCTTGGGTCTTGTTTTCTTTAAGCATATCTAGAGTTTTTAATTGATAATTTACTCATGGTGAAGATTAGATGAACTTCTCTTTGAGTTCAACTTGAAAAGAAAAAAATCCCATTCAGATCTCATATCTTTAGAATTTCCTATTCTAGTCAGTCTAAAATGTATGCTTAAAAATAGAATAAGATACACTTGCTTGATCTAGTGGCGTGCACTGTAGCTTGGCTTGCTCAACAACTTCCTTCCTCCCTCTACTGTAGACATGAGAAAATTAAGTGTTATGCTTGATACTTTAATCTTTGCATTTTGAGATGGCTGCATAGCACTGGCCGCCAGTGACACGTCAATGGAAGTTGCTGAGGGGTACCCTAGGAAGTCTTTTGCTTTCCTGGCATAGAGAGAGACCAGCTTGCTTACATGGCCTTTTGCCTTGATTGCTGGGCCAAGGCACCCAATGCTGACCCTCATTTTATCTAAGAAGCAGTGATAAAATGTCTCAAACCTGAAGTATTCATGACCTATTTTCAGCCTGCTTTCTGGTATGGAGTTCGGTATAGATGTAGTGCCTAGTGAGTGTGCTTCTAATAAGCAGAACTGGCACTTTGAGAGGTTATTTCCATTTTAAGGATTTATATACTCAAACCTCCAGCTCTCTCTAGTCAGGTATGTTTGACTTTTTTTTTTTTTTTTAGGCGAGGCAACCCTTGGTTGACCTCACAGACTACAAGGACCTTGTCAGTTTACAATCCTTTATTTTTTATTTTTTTTACACCTACAGCACTTGGTCTTCCTAGGTGGTCTCCCATCCAAATACTAACCAGGCCCGACCCTGCTTAGCTTCCGAGATCAGACAGGATCGGGCTTATTCAGGGTGGCATGGCCATAGACTGTTTAGGACTTTCAATGAGAGTCAAATCAGCTGAATCTTTTTTATAACAGCAGGCTGTTAATTTCCAAATTAAAACAAAACTTTTGAAGTAGAAAAGGAGAGATGTTTATTTAGATGAGGAACTCAGTTCCAAGCTAAAGTTTGGCAGGTCTTTGGACTAAGAGTTAAACTTACTTCTGAATGCCTTAGAAGCAGAGACTATGTTTTCTAAACTTTTTATTGTGCTTAATTTCAAATTATTTTAGTTACTTGCAGACAATTGCTTTGTTCATTAAGAATTTTACTTTTGGAGCACAAGATCTTGGGAATGTATGCCATGGTAGCTCTGAAACTTGAAGTGGACTCATACTTTGAGTGGGTAGAAATGTTATTTACTTAGGGAGGTACCCAAAATTGTACCATTCCTTGGGCAAACATGAGGATACTTAAGATATTTGATTTTTTCATTCATCTATCCTTCCTATATGCACATGATTTGATCCTTCTATCATCTTAGGAGATATCACTATTCATGAGAAGGACCCATCCATTTACCCAGCCTGTCTCTTGACTTCCTACATTCTCATGACTTTC